TCACTCACTCTTCGTGCAAGATTGACTTAGAGTCAGTTGAAGATTTTTTTCCCTATGAAATAAGTCATTACAAATGCTTGAGTTGTTTCACCATAAGGAAATGCTGATTGTCATGCGACGTGGAGCATCATTTTTATTATTTTGGCAAGAACAGGGACAGTTTTGTCTTGACAAGCCATTAGATGAATACCAGCGTGTGTCACATGAAAAACCACTGATCTTTAACCCAGCCTTGAAATGAATAGTGAATCAAAGAAGAGCAAAGGCCAGTTTACTGCCATTACAGATTACGGAATCTGTTAACAGCCGCCCGAATGAACTGAGGGAAGTACAGGTATTGTTCAGTAAAACCTGTGAAGCCTTAGGTGTGCTTTTAAGCTGTGTATTGAAACTATGCATTTATGTTATATTGCCTTTAGATTTATACTGTTTGAAAGGCAGCAAGGAACATTAAAATTCTTGAGTTCTTCCTCACCAAACCTCAGTGTACTTAATAGTACTGCTTCTGTCAACTTTTTCTGCCCTTAAGTTACAAAATTTAAGAATGTGAAGCTCTTATAAGGTAATCATTAATAAGTATTAAGAAAAGAACAAAACACCACACACTACACCTCCCTGCTTTTCTCAGATTAAATAACGATAGACCAAAAACCCCACCTACATGCCAAATGAAATCCTTTGCTCATTTCTTTAGGTATTAATGATGGCTGACTTTATTACCAGCACGTGACTTTTATTCTTTGCTTATTTATAGAGGAAAGAATGAAAACCCCCAGTTTCATCTTTGTGCCCAAATATTGTGAAAGATCAGCAACGTTTTACCAGTCAGTTGTAGGAATTATTGCTTACAGAGCTAACTAGAAAGAACACTCTCTTCCCCACTCTGCTGGTGGAATTGCATTGTGCCTCCCTACAGTCTTGTTATCCCACACTAACTGAAATGCAAATTCCTTTCAACTAATTGGATCTCATTGAGGGTACACGCACAGTATGTAGTGATATGCAAAAAGGGTTTAAAAAATAATATCTCTCTGTAATTACAACTTTAAATTACTATCCCAAACACTGGCATGAATAGAAAAGGTTTAGAATGTGGACGTTGAACTTTTTTAATATCCATTGCTCCAGAAAATGAAGTATGTAGTTCTTAATAAGGTGTCAGCTAAAAAGTTATGAGAAAAGGGTTTAGTAGTTACAGCAATCTATAAATTGGATTTTAGTAAAGAACTGTTAAAAGATGTTTTTTTAAGTTTAGGACAGAATATTTTAGAACCAATCTGCTGAAGACATTCTAGTGGGTTGTTCCCTTTTTCTTGATGCTGTAGAACATTTTAATTGTTAAAACAACATAAACATCCAGGATCGCTTCTTCCCCACCCCCTTTCGTTGTCTGAGCTGTCTTAACGTAAAATACATTTGAGTTACCTAATTTGTCTAAGTGTAATATTATTATTTCTGTTGTAACTTGTGGTCATGTGGAGGTATGCTCCATCTCGTAATGTTTTTAATAACTTGTGTGCATTTAGCTCTAGTTGGTGTACTTAGGAAGATCGATGGTCCTCCTCTCTCTCATCAGAAGAGCCAATACCCGGGGTGTAGTAGTTGTAATTCCTTAACCTGAAATATATGGACTCAGGACAGCGTAATGCAATAATTATGGAAGTTAACGCCCACCTCCGCAACACTCCATTCTTAAGTTATAGTCTTCTAAAGGATTCTAAATAGTTACTCTCTTCACTCTGGAGACTCTGTGGCCAATGGGAAAACTCAGAAAAGTGTGTGCCTTGTAGATTTACTTTTTGTACCTGTTCCCTTTGTCTACTTGCTATATAGCATTCTGTCTGAAGAACAAGTACTCCAGCTAGTATATTTTGTCTGTCTGTCTGTCTGTCTGTCTGTCTATCTATCTATCTATCTATCTATCTATCTATCTATCTATCTATCTATCTATCTATCTATCTATCTATGAGTGGCAAGTACAAATCCTGTGTTTTCTGAGCTTCTGAAAGGGTCAAATTTGTATTTACAGCTATTTCTTTAAAAAGAAAAGAATGTTGGAATGTATAAAAGCCAGCATGATTAGGTAGTTTCAGGTTGTAGTATTGTTTTACTTATTTGTTAGGATTCGCTGCACCTAGTATTATTTGTTAGTATGTGAAGTTGTTCCCTTTGTAAATTAGCCTTACCAATTGGTTGAGATCTTGTCTGAATGATCAAACTCCATTTAGCAAGTGCAGTGTCACAGGAGAAATATCTTGTGAAAAGAATTTAAACCTCAGGAAAAAGACGGCCTAGTGTTCTGGAGGCATGGGCTGCCGCAGTCCTGTGCAGGTCAGAGTTAGCCTGCAGAACTCTTAAGAGAGCAGCCTCAGACCTTGGTACCTGAGAGCTCTCCCTTTGCCTGCTTTGGGTAGCATTTTGTCAGAAGACTGCTGGCTGGGCAGACCAGATTTGGATGTATTAGCTAGTCAGCCTAATAACCCTGTACAGACTGTATTGATTTTCTAGGAGAGTTTATGAACTAAATAAACTTGGGGTTGGTGTCTTAATAAACTGCTTCTCTCAGTCTGTCACATTTAGTTACGGAGCTGTGCAGTTTAGGGGGAAAAAAGGCTAATTCTGTTACAGATTGTTCACAGCAGGGTCTCCAAATTAGCCCTTTGTTTTGTAATGCCACCTTGCTTGGGCTCGCTTTGAGCACATTTCTCAGTTTTACCCTAATGAGTTGCAACATTGATAATGTGGCTGATGATCTTTCATTGATTTCACTATCACTTGCTTGTCTGGTAATTGATCCGTTGCTGAGCTTCTAGTTAATTATATCGGCTTTGACATGGCCCGGTCCACGGGGAATTTCAAGTCTTGCAGAATAACAGTTTTAATAAAAGAGTCTATTACTGCAGGTGCTTGCTGCTGCATGATAGTTGATTTTTGTGTGTTGTGTGTGTGTGTGTGTGTGCCGGCACGTGTAGGGTGTGGGTGGGAGGATACCTGAAAAGGAAGACTGCAGGACTGGAAGAAAGAGGAGGTGGGGGCTGGAAGAAGAGGCAGAGGCAGAGAGAGCTTGTAGGCAAAGCGATACAACAGAGCCTGAGAGGAGCGAGGAGGAAGCCTGCTATTGACAGTGTCCTTAAGCCTCCCACAAATAACAGCCATTAGTGGGAAGGTCAGGAGCTGAGCAGGCAGCTTGACTGAGGCACTGAGTGCCACTTCAGAAATCAAGAGGCTAGCAAATTTTAGAGGGAGTTTAAGTGGGTAATAGCTAGCTGTAAAGGTACAGTCACGGTTGACAATTGACTCATAGGGGCTTTTCCCGCTCTCCCCCCTTCAAGAATATTTTTATTGACCACAGGTGGACTTAATATATTTTAAGGCAACAATTCTTTGGGTTCTTGTTTGTTTCTTCTCAGATATTGAATTTGCTGCTTTTGAGACTTTTTTTGTGCTTAATGGTGGTGAACTGGAGGGAAGTTTAACAGAAAAGCTTTCAGGAGATGTCGGTTCTAGAGGGGAAGGCACATTTGTGTCAACATAGTGTATGTTTTCTCATCTTTTCTCATTGTCCACTAATGACACAGAGCTGCCACTGAGGCTCTTTTCTGTTTCTTTTGTTGTTGGAGAGAGTAAGGTTTATTGTTATTCTTGAGTTAAGAAGGAACAGGGAGAGTGGTACATTTGTCCTCAATATTTGTAGGTGGTCGAAGATTAATGCTCCTTACATTTTAAGTTTAGGAAGGATGGCTTTTTCTTGCTGACTACTTTTATGAGATGGCATGAATTTAGCTTTCCATTTGAAGTGACTGTTTACAATGCATTTTCTACAGTTTTGCTTTTTCATAAGTAAGTGAGATAAAGCATATATAATAAAAAGGTGTTTTGTTTTAATTAAAAAATACAACATGCCACTGAAGCTATATCAGGCAGAAAAACCTTATGGAATTTTCTGTGGAGATCTTGAATGAAAAATGGAGCTTTATTTTCCTTACTGTTTGCCTGAGTGGGACAGGTTTTATCTTCATCTTTTTCTTTTTTTATGATTTGAAAGGATATTGTAGATGTCTCACAATGCTTGGAAATTTTTAACAAAGGCTTCCCCCACCCCCACCCCCCAGCTTTTGAGATTTAAGAAAAAGTCTTTTTTCCCTTTTAGTATAAAGTTTTTCATTACTAAACATCCAGCCTGGTAATTAATAGCCCAAGGTATTGAATATTAAATAATACTTATTTTGTAAATGTTTACTGTACTTCTTACACGTTTAAAAAAAAACCCTGTGAGGTTTATTTACTTTTTGGAGTGTAAGGTCGTGTCTGTATGTATATTATTTTCTCTAGGAGTTTATATGTGGATATAAATAGCCTAGCGCATAGTATATGACTTTTAGAAGCTAGCATTTCCACAACAGCTGAGCCAACTTTATATTCTCTTACAGCTAAAGCTTTAACTTCATTCCAGCGTTATTAGGGGGAAAACAAAACCACCTAACAGTTTAGAGATATTAAAGACTGATGTCAGATATAGTATGTTCTATCAAAAAGCATTGTTGGGGCAGGTATGGGGTAGGGCCCCAACTTGTCCTCGCCCTGTGCTCTGTGATCAAGGTACTACTTGAAGTCTGCCTGTGTGTGTCTGTGCATCTGAGAAGGGTTAGTGCAGGGTGTCATTCGGTGCCTGACAGTGGAACGGTGTAGTTGACTCTTCGCTCTGTTATCCAATGACATGCAGTGGCTGGGAGTTTGAAGCTGATGGTTGGGTCTCCAGTGCTGCCTGCACACCTGACAGGCAGCTGTTAACCGAGCAAAGGCAAGCTTGGGGAGTCACAATCTATGCATAAATGATAGGGGTGTCTGTGCAGAAGGTGCGAAAGAAACCCTGACCCCCCCCCTTCCCCCAAATCTCCCCCTTCCCAAATGAAATGCACAGTTCATCCAGCTTCTTAACTACACTACACTCCTGCTACTGGCTGCCAAGAGGCTCAAAAAATCCACCTTCACTTTTCAGTCAGAAGAGGCAGAAGTGGATGTGAGAGAAAGAGACACACAGAGAGACAGAGAGCCAAAGAGGGCAAGAGACTTGACTTTAAGAGACTCCTGTACTGACAACTCCATGCAGTTCGGAACCAGGACGACAGCGGCTGAGCCAGGATTCATGGGGACATGGCAGAACGCTGACACTAACCTCTTGTTCAGAATGTCCCAACAGGTAAGTTACTTTCATTTTTTCCATAAGAAGCCTTGAATTGCTATGTGTACTTTTTGTTTTGGTCTTCTTTCTTTATGAATATTTAACAAATGTTACCACTTCCTAGTTAGGGTCCCTTTTGTCGTAGCGGTGCCACTGGAATATGCTCCACGCTTTCCCTAAGGGCTCCTTAAGAGGAAAGGGGGAAAGATAGTCAAGTAAAAGAAAGCAAAGGCATTTGGTAAAGTTTCAGTGCAGCCTGATTCTTGGGAAGACTGAATTTATTTTGTAGTTTTCTGGATTGTCCCCCATCCCATTTTTTTTTTTTTTAAGCAATCCCCCAACAAATGGCTCTTACTTGCTGTATTAACCACTTCATCCAAGTGGCTGTTATCTCCCGGGTAGGCTCCCCAAGCAAACAGTCATAAAATGCAGGGGCCCCTCCTCGCAGCCTGCACGCCTGGCTGTGGCTGGGAGCAGCTGGAGGCAGAGCTGGAGCGCGCCGGGCAGGAAGCGCCGCC